CGAAAGAGTCCAGAGGAGAGCCACGAAGATGGTCAGGGGTCAAAGCTCCTTTCCTTATGCGACCCGCCTAGTAAATCTGAACCTCTTTCCTTTGAGTTACAGGCAACTTCGCGGAGAACTCTTGCAAGCCTTCCGCATTGTAAAGGGGTTGGATTGCAGTCTGGCCTTCGAGGACTTTTTTGAATTTGCTACCACGACCAACCTCCGAGGTCACCCGTTAAAACTGCGCACTCAGCAGGCACGGCTGGATGTGCGGAAGTTCTCCTTCTCGGTTCGGGTGGTCAAACCGTGGAATGAGCTTCCCGCAGATGTTGTGATGTCACCATCTATACAAAGTTTTAAGAAGAATCTGGACATATTTATGTTCCCAAATGACCAAGAGCGATGAGAAGTCGAGCTCACCCCCTGTAACTCCTTCTCATTTTGTCCCACCATTATGGGCGTGTTCGAACTATTTCAGCCCAGAACATCTATCTGTACACCACACATTTTTTACGTTGCAAATAGGGTACTCAAAGGCTTACGCCTATTTCCCTCAATAAACTGAACTGAACTGAACTACGCGGCCATGCATACAAAGTCGGGAATGAGCGCAAGCGTTTAGACCGACGAAACTTTTCATTCAGCCAGCGGGTTGTCAGGCCGTGGAACTCGCTTCCAAGCGAGATGGTGACGGCTGACACAGGTTGTGTGTTTAAAAGAAAACTTGCTCGTCTAGTTTTCGACAGAAATCGACTTGTACAGCATGACTATGCACAGCCAGTTTTGTAAAATCTGTCATATACAATCTTTCGCACTAATTTACAGTGACCCCATGCCCTACATTATGATTACGATTGAACTGTGACCCAATCACATTTTAAATGCCTGCAATTTTATTTTATTTTTGAGTATGAATCTGCGAAAGCACTGTACATAAATAGGGTCATCAAGGGCTCTGCCTGTAACCCTTCAATATACATATATACATACATACATACATAAATGGTGTAACGGTTGGCACTATGCGCCGGTAATGGCAAAGCAGATTCTTTTTCAAAGTTCGTTTGTTTGACTGCTGTTTTAACAAGCTGGGAAGAAACATTTGGCAAAGAAGACTGTTAATAGGAAACTGTGGTTCCGGTGAGTGAATCGATGCCACTGCTCGTGCTGTGTCTATCCAACTCGAACTTTTTCTGAGAATCGTCAAAGGTTTAACAGCACACGACATTAACCGGAGCGGACGGGGTGGTCGTCAATGCCTCTGTATCAGCTTCTTAATACTACTACTATTACTACTACTACTACTACTACTACTACTACTACTACTACTACTACTACTACTACTACTACTACTACTACTACTACTAATAATAATAATAATAATAATAATAATAATTTTATTTAATTCCAGTTTACAAGAATTGTCAGGGAAAGGTTAAACACAAATCCGGCCGCCAGTGGAAAAACTCCTGACAAAAAAATATAGAGGATGGTGGTTTTGTATATATTGGAGGGTTCAGAAGAAATAAGTCTGCTGCCCGTGAAATGACGTCAGTCAATAAAGAAAGAGGTAGCACTGCATCTGATACTGTCAGTCGCCATTTCTTCTCATGAAGTTGGGACTGGACCAAACAGAAGCACCGAAGAACAGCTGTTGGCTTAAGAAATTGTCCCTGGTGAGATAGTCTATGGGGATCAGATACCATGAACGCCTTCGCTACCGTATATTCGGTCGGTGGATTCAGCATCTAGAATTTGTGGGAGTTTTTCTGAATGCAAAATTAGAGTAATAATTCTCTTAAGGGAACGATAATTTTACAGAATTTTCACATTCCTTGGTAAGTTATTCCAAATAGCAATTGTGTTCACAGAAAAGATCAGCTATATTCAACGGCACGTGCCAGAGTAAGAAAAAGAAAGACCTCACGGCGACTGTTACTTCGAGGATGGACAAGATGTCTTCAAGTAGTTAGTGGGTTAGACATACGAGTATATAAAAGCATAAATAGTATAAATAGTTCTTTTTTTATTCCACGGAACCATAAAGGATCGAGGCCTGTAAACCGAAAACGCTCTTGGTAAGACAAATGTTGGGGTTCCGGGGTTAAAACTCTCTTGGTAAAAAGTGTTGGACGCATTATATTTTTTTACACTCAGCAGCACGAACAGTATTCCAGGCCAGGTCGAACGTACATGCTATAAAGACGCATTCTAATATCGTTGGTGTTAAAATTTCGGAGGATAAGCCCAGTCGTTCTACATGCTTTGGAGACTATCAAGACACAGTGCTCCGAAAAATTGAGACTCTTAGAGTATGATACACCCAGATCCTTAATAACCCCATGCACATTTATGTCGCAACCGTCAATACTTAGTTGAAGTTGGTGGTCGTCGCCAACCACCATGACTGAGCATTTATGCCAAGAAAGAGAAGGGCGTCATGTGCGGCACCACTAGGCAAAGGCATGTAGATCGCTTTTGAGAAGCTCAAGCACGATGTCACGATCGGCTGGCTTATACCTGTGTGCAACTTTCAGATCTTGAAGAAGGGGACACGATCCGGTGGGTTTTGCCGGTTGTTCAGCAATGTTGAGGACAAGGAACCCGTCAGGATATCCGTTTTCACGAAGCAAGTCCTGAATTTTCCTAAGTTCCTCCTCGATACTATCTGCTGAACAAATTTTTCTAACTCTTTGTACCAAACACCTGACTAGATTTAGTTTTTGTTGGAGAGGTACGAAATCACTGAAGTTCATGTATTGTCCGGACCAGGTTTTCTTCCGATAGACGATCCTTCGGACGCTATCGTCAGGTCTCCTGTCCAGAAGAACATCTAAGAAACGGAGCGAACATGCCGTCTCCATCTCCAACTGGAATTTTATCGACGGATGTGTCCGACTTACAGCATTTAAGAAGGTAGCTACATCGGTTTCTGCGGTGGCAGTTGAAAGATGTCATCAACACAACGACCATGAAGTTTAGGCTTATCGATCTGACCACTTAGTTGGAATCCCTCTAGTTTGCCCATGAAGACATCGGCAAGGAAAGGTCTAAGAGGCGAGCCCATGACAAGGTCGTTTACTTGTGTATAGAGTTGGTTGTCAAAAAGGAACTGCACATTTAATTTGCATCTTAGTTATAGTTCCTTATGTTTGTTCGTCGGAATTCGTATTTCCTGTTGATCGGTTGATAGAGATTCACAGATGTATTCAACAGTCCAGGTGACTGGGACATTTGTAAGAAGCGATGCAACGTCTAGCGAGAACATCATTATGCCGTAAAGGTTAAGTTCTTGGATGCTATCAATGAAGTCGAAAGTGTCTCGATAGCTGCGTGGTGCTAGCTGATGCTGCATAGGCTTGAGATTTTCTGCTAACCACTTCGCTATCGCAGGATACGGAAAGTTTTGCATTTATAAAATCAGACGAACTGGCAGGCCTTCCGTGTGGATCGTCGATAGACCATATAGCCCAGAGATCTATGCGTCGACTGGCCGGAGGTGTTCGAGGTCACGTTTGCTTATGTAAATCCCTGAACTGAGCCTTCATAGACAGTCCGTTTTGTCCCTGCCTCATCCGCGAAACCCTTTCTTTGCCTTCCTTCCTGAATTTCTTCTGGGCTTATAGTATGGACTGTATCTTCGCCACGTAGTTCGATATGTTTGTTATAACGACGCCTGTTCCTTTGTCCGGTCTAGTTCCTAAGATGTCTTTGTTCTCCCGAAGTTCTTTTAACTTTCCAAAGTGAGCTTATTTCAGCGGTCGTCGACTTTCTGGCCCCTTGTTTAGGTATTGATAACTGCAATTCACCAGCGTTTATTTAAAATGTTGGATACTGCCCGCGAAAGTGGGCACTAGATCGTAGGGTTGGTCCCATAGGTTCTCGTACTGAGTTTCCATTTCTAACCAATTAACTTTTCGACGAGGTATACAAAACTTAGGACCAAGTGATACTGCCTCAAGTGATGTTTCCTCAAGTGTCATATCAGAGTGGCTGTGTACGTGCCAACCTGGATCTTTCGGAAATCGTGACTGTGGTTTCATTTCATATACACCTTTAAGAAATGCAGAACTTTCGCCTCTCCGCGTTTTCTTTTTATGGATTGAGTGTGGCTGTCGAATTCTTGTCTTTTATCATTTGTCAGGGTGTCAAGGACGGTTTTTCACTGACACATATGACACTTAAGTTCTTCCATCCTTACGAGGATACCTTCTAGTTGATTCTCAGCGTATCTTTTCGGGGTTTCTGTGGTAAGAACTGTACGACCACGCCGCAGCCGGCTATCCAGCCAGCTACTGAGCTCTACTCAGCATGGATTTTTACTTGAAGGATCTTGCGAAACTTGTCACATTGCCTTTGTTAATCTCGCCACTTCTCTTCGTTATGAGTAGTAATAAGTGGTAATCTTCTTTAATCTTAGTAAAGCCTTCGACAGTGTGCTGCATAGACATCTTTCAGTAAAATTGGAAGCCCTCGGCATCCGGCCTCCTCTGCACGGCTTCATCGGGTTCTATTTACCCAACCACCATTAGAAGGCCAAGGCTGGTAATTGCCACTCGACGCCTTACTCAGTCCTGAGTGGCATAATTCAAGGCATGGTTCTGGGTCCGCTACTCTTCCTTTCTTACATCAACGATACTTTGAGAGTTATCGGGAATTCGCAAACGTTCAACTCTGCTGATGACTTTGAATGTGTTTCATCCTGTTTAACAGACATTGGCAAAGTTGGCGATGAAACAATTGATTCCAATCTATTATGTTTGCGGAAATGGAGCTCAACTTGGCAGCTGGAGTTATTATCGTCCAAGTGTAGTTTCATGCTTTTTGGTCCCAAGAAGCTTCCAGGCCTAATAACCTTTCAAAAGAACCCATTGTGAGGATGCTTCACGACAAAGGACCGGGATCTAAGTTACACAAACTAGTTTGCTATATCCCCTCATGCAAATCAAATTTCTGCAGGTGCTACGCAGATATGTGGGTTCATGTCATATAATTTTCTCTTCCGGAAATTAAGACAGGACTTTTCCGCATGTTTGTTCTCCTCATCCTTGAATAGTGATGTCCAATGTTTGGTTTAATGAATGCATGCAGACGTAGTAAAATCTAAAATGTTTGGAGAGTCTTTACTCGAAGTCTTTCCTCTCAAGCTGAATCCAATAGTTCTTATACTGAAGGTAGGCAATTGGCCAAGATTGGGTTTTTATAAGTTAAACGACTCCAAGTTGACCTTTGCTTTCCATTTCGCATTAATTCTAGCCCTTATCTTCCGCGTATTGACGCTCTCATTTCGGTAGACCGACCTAATGTCACGCCTTATTCCCCCATGTTTATTTCACCGCCTTCCTGCTCTACGTCTAAACGTTCGTTGTTTTTTTGCGTGCAGATAATATTATAATAAAATAGTTTTATTTTTAGCGCCCAGAGGGCCCTTTTTGGAATAAGTCTTCACTATAACTTAGGTCGACACCTAGACTATCGGTATTCGATTTGAAATTACGCCAGCACCTTACCCCGGGAAGTGTAAAGTCATTACAGGCAACTTCATTCCCGAACACTCAACTTCTTGACCTTAGAAAGGGTCCGCCTGGAATTTAAGGGAGGATAGTACATGCTGTTCTTCCTCAGTCGGAAATTCCCACTCGAATTTGAACAACCTCTAGTTATTAACAGTTCGACAAATTTACTGATACTATACCTTGCGACGATGATCTTCGCGGTTTGCAACGTTCCCTTCTGGCATCGAACCCAGACGATCGCGGCAGGTTCCTCTGTTTCGCCAACTTATTGATGCTTTCTTCGGTCAGCGAAGACGTATCCTGGCGGCACCTATCCGCGTTTCTATTTTGTTCGCGACCTTTTAATACCCGCTCTTCGCTTCGATACTTGGCGGACAGTGGGCGACGGCGGTGGGCTTCTCCTGTCTCGCTACTTTGACGATTATTTCTTCAGTCACCCGGAATAATAATATGATCGTATCTGCAGTGAGTAACCTTATCCGGCCTAGGGATTCCACCTCGACGAGGGGCGTTTCGAGTCCATGGATGTTGCCACCTGCAGGGCGGTCCCGTCTAACATGCATATTTTGCTTCCCTGTCCTGTCGGTTTTTTCTCATAATCACAACTTGAACACTGCACAGGTTTCCTAATTCCATCAAGATTGGCCAATGAATATCCATTTGATGTATTTTTGATTTGAAATGACAGTACTCTCACGACCGCTATTATATCGCCCAATTAGTATGACGCCAGTTCTGTTCGGAATAGAAGACAGACAGGATAGGATAGAACAGCTTTAGTGCGTCAGTCACCCTGTGTACATCAACTCTAAATCCTTCCGTCCGTGGCTCCGTATTTAAGGGTTCAGCCTTCGTCTGGTTTGTGTGTTCCTATTGGTCCAGTCCGGAGCGCCCGCATGGGCAGGCCCTCGCGTGTTGCTGACCCCTGGAGGTCGCGCATTACTCAGCGGCGTGCTAATGTCTGGCTCGCATGCGGGCTTCCTAGGCGAGGCTGTGCGGCAAGTTTGCGGTTCTTTGTCAGGCGTGACCTCCGGACGACAGGGACGGTGCGTCGTGTTCTGGGCCGTCCTAACAACCGCTAAATATAACTATTTATTTACTGAGGGCAACAGATAAAGTACTAATATTTACTTTCCAGTTCCAATTTCCCCGACGTAATTACAACCCTCATCAAAGCAACCTAATTGACAAACAACAGTGGAGGTTTCGATGATTGACAGGGTATTCCTGGGTCGCAGCAAACGGCAACTAATTGCTGCCTGGGGTCAGTGGACTATGCCGACGCTGGCGGGTTGTAAAAGTCAGGTGAATACCCCGGAAACTGCTTTAGTGTAGGAAACGGGCCTCTGGATTTCGGGTTATTGCTCTTTTGGCCGTCGTCCTTTCACTCTGCGCTTGCTAGCTCGGCCATCTGCCATGACCAGTCATTTCGAAATTCTGACTGATTGTCGGCATCCTTGCTCTGACAGTGGAAATTCACCAAGTTCTCCGAGACTCCAGCAACGCCATCACCCTTTTCCGGTGAGCCCCTTATCTTTCACAGATGACAGGCCAGGATTAGAAAATGGGGGGAGGTGGAGAGGCGGAAATGTGATCAACAACGTGATACCATTCAGAAATCTGATGTAATCACAAAAATACACCAATCTGAGAGTAAGAATTGGAGTTTCTGAAAAATTGCTACATTAGCTACGATACAACATTATCGACAATTGTAATAAAGCAAACTTGGTGAAAAGTATGCAATCATTTTGAGAAAAGTAGAAATGATCTACTGTTTTAGCTTGGTCACGAGGTTGCTGCTACTATCTCTGACAATGGACTCCTGCACGAGTTTGAAAGCTCAGGACAATAAACAAGATGTCCGGGTGCTCAAACCCTCTTCTTCTTCTTCTTCTTCTTCTTCTTCTTCTTCTTCTTCTTCTTCTTCTTCTTCTTCTTCTTCTTCTTCTTCTTCTTCTTCATTTACGATATACTGGAACGAACCAGGAATTGCATCGAGTTGTTTGAATGCCGTGAATACTTTTAACACGGGATCTAGGGCAGAGATGGTGCAAACTCGTGTAGGCAAAAGCAGACGGTGCCCTTTCGACTCTACTGCCGACCCCTTACCCTCAATTCAACGCAGCTGCGCTAGCGCACTCTCTCTCTCCTCCTCTCTACGTCGGCACCCTTTGAGGGTCTCTTCTGCAGCTGTCCACAGGCCTGCAATCCCCATCGGTTGTCTAGCGAACATGTTGGTGTCACCTGTCCATCCAAGCGGATCATTCTACCTCCCGTATCATTGATCATTCTCCAACGTACCTAATTCCGGTTTCTAGTGTAATTATTTCGCACTGTTTGACTTTTCCATGCTTCTTTGGATGAAAACGGCGATATATTTAACAGCTCTCCCCAGCTCGGTCTTAGCCAGGTCTCATTCCCAGTGCTCACTACCTCGGTGTGTGTTAACCTCGACGACCATGAGACGAAGGATCTGGCCTAACGGAAATCCGACTAACTATGAACCGATTAAGCCGTATGTCGTGCCCGCGTGGCCTAATGGATAAGGCGTCTGCCTCCTAAGTAGAAGATTGTGGGTTCGAGTCCCACCGTGGGTGCCATTTTCGCAACTACTCCCTCACCCGTTGTGCTCGCCCGGGACAACCTGAAGCTGGACTGCATAGAAGTAGACTGCTTTGGTACCCGGAATACGCTTTACAATAATCGACCGAAGTGACGGTTGTATACACTCCTATTAATCGCTAAGTTGATGCACATAAACGGTACTGCAACTGTATTACGTACATCTTACCGACGACTTCATATATCCGTACTAACTGGTGGTAACCGGTGGCAGTGGCTCGAGCCCGTAGACGGGCTCGTCCATTCCGGTTATTGTCCTGGTCAGCGAAGAAGGTGCCAGAGAGGGTTAGGTGGGGCTTGCACCGGAATAACATAAATCTAAGTTTACACTCAAACCTGGAAATAGAACTTTCGCCTCCATTCGAACAAGATTAACTAAAATACCACATATATGTACAGTTGTCATTGTACGCAGGGCTGAAGACGCAAAATTGGGACTTGCTGGAGATGCCGGGGATCGAACCCGGGGCCTCTCGCATGCAAAGCGAGCGCTCTACCACTGAGCTACATCCCCGACGCCAGAGGTCCAAGTAAGATTACCTACAGCCTTAAAACATGGTGAACTATGCTAATCGCTCACTTGAGTTCATATACTTGGATTTAGGCATGGTTCCTACACGTGAGTAATTACAGTGTTTGTCATACCGAGATTGTCGTTGTGTATTACAAACATCAAGATGGTTACTTGCGGTAAGTACGAGTAATGAAAGACTCATGGTTGAAACAACAAGTTTGGAATGAGCGAGTTCCATATTTTAATTTGCGCCTTTTGGTGTGAATTGGGCCAGTCAAAGACGCGGAAAGATGGTAAAATAACATACATTTGGAACTATTTTTGCTGAACGGCGCTATTTCATAATGGGGAACGGTACGATAGTAGTGCTCCCGTGAGCAGACCCGACTGCATCACGTACCTTATGAATAGATAGTCCTCTTGCGAGTGAATTTTGAAGACATTGAAAATAAAAAGGGCAAAAGGCAAAATCCAGTCTTGAGCCACTTCCTTTGTTTCGGTTCGCAAAAGCAGGTCCCACCGAGACTCGAACTCGGGTCGCAGGATTCAAAGTCCTGAGTGCTAACCACTACACCATGGGACCACGGTCGAAGATTTGATAATATATTATATAGCATGTCATATGCGAGCTTTCCAATCGTCTACCTATTGCTAACTTCCTGGTTCTGTAGATAATATTCATACTTAATACAACGCCCTTTGACGTATTTCCTTCCCTTTCCGAGGTAGGCATACCAGAACTCATGTGCGCCATATCTAACTTCCAACAATGATTGTTTTAGCGGCGGCAGTTTGCGCCTAGCTCACACTTACCGCTAACTTTTTATCTTTTCGCATTTGCTGATGTAATTGATGACTTTATTTCTGTTTATCGATATGAATAGGGAGCTCAAGGGCGAAAGCCTCATTCCCTTAATAAACTGACTTAAGTGATTTGACATTGACGAACTGTCTACTAGCTTGTGGTGAGGTACCGGACTAATTTACCTTTGACAATTTAGTCCCATTTTCTTTGACCGGATCGCTTGTTTGAATGTGACGAAAAACAACACACCTGACAACCTGCCTTGCGAGCTTGCTCCACCGTCGTGCTCTATTGTCAAGTTTTCTTAACGTTCAAAATCTCTATATTATTCACTGCTCAGGGCTAGATCGCAGTTGGTAGCCAGGCCCCGTATTACAGGTGGCTGGGCGGTTTGTTTACTGGGGCTATTTTGTGGGGTTCCATAATCACATCTGGCCCATTTGGCTTCCGTTGTACGTTTGAGGTTAGCATTAGGGTACCGGTTAATGGTTTCCGATTTTCCGGTTAGGGTTATGCCTTTAAGCTTAGGTTTTCGGGTTACGGTTAGGGTTTGAACGTACGCCTAGGTTTCAGTATTACGGTTAGGTTTTCCACTTACGGCTATGTCTAAGGGCTACGGTTACGTTTACGATTTTGGTTAGGGGTAAGGTTAGGGTTAACGGTTAAAGTTTAAGGTTGAGGTTAGGGATAAGATTAAGGTTAAAATTAGGGTTAAGGGCGCCGTCCGCTTCGCCATTCCTGGCTACCAACTGCGATCTAGCCCTGTTCAGTTTTACTTGCTGCTTTTACGGCTTGGGGCTCATGAGATATAACTCGTTAATTCGTGAGAACATTACCATTTACGACAAATTTACACAACAAATTACTTTCAATTGTTAGTGGTCAAATACAGAGAAATTTGAAATGCACTCGCAACTGTAAATTGGGAGAGGTGGAGCTGGAGACTGCCACCAGGGGAGGGATCAAACCTCCGGGCACCTGCACTTAATAGGACATACTACTCCATGCAGCTGTCCCAATCCATTTACACAAGAAGTTCGTTTTCGGTCCTGTCTGTTTTTATGCATGAATGTTCAGGTTTATTTCACCGCTGGTCTTCTGTACACCCCTATTGGCTGACGTCAGAGTCTACGGCATGAACCAGTGTTGGCTACTCGCTGGACTATAAGCAATGGTTGTTCGATTAGCGATCCATCAGTAAGCACAATGGTTGCTGCATTGACGATGATCGGGATTGGCTGGGACGATATTGTTGGCGAGTCGTCCTCCCGATCGAAGCAGGCAACATGGCGGCAATTTACCGCCTCATCGGATAGGGAGTACCCATTAGAGCTGGAACCTCAGCTTCAAAGTGTGGTCAACGTATCGCCATAGCATAGCCACGGCGACCCAGAATTGGATAGCAGAGAAATTGGCACTCTTTGGATGGTTGAGACGACGGTTCCTACTCCAGTAAACCGTGCCGATGCCTGCGTGCAAGCAGGGCGTTTGACGCGGTCAGACAGGTCCCCTTCAGAAGTACTGCTTCTTTCAACCTCAGGCCCTTTTCAGTCTACGGCAGCCGGTTAAACTGCCGGGCAGTTCTCGCCTTTAGGGACGTTCCTGAAGTTCACAGGCCCAGGTGCTTAGCAGTCTGCTCGGACCGATACGTCACCCTAGTCGGGATGAGAAGCCTGAATCAGGTAAAAAATGCCGTCCACGCAAAATCGATGTGCCCGCTGCCTCTCGCGCAGCTAGGGCTTTCAGCCTTCTGACGGCGCGCGCGCAATCGATATGTGCGTGTGTGTGAGCGCCTGGGTTTTGCCACAC